ACCTATATGCCAAGCGTAAATTTATTCGAAATAAGAACTTCTTTTATTGGAATAATAATATAAGCAATTTCTTTGTAAAGCATTCGAAAAAATAATTTAGATCAAAATCCGATTCGTGGTTTAGTAAAAAATCATTAGTTTAAACAAAATCAAAAATGTTCAAGACAAAATTATGGGAGTTGTTCAAACCCATTTTCGTTTTTATTATAATTATACTTAAATAAAGAAAAAAAAGTATTCTTAAAATTACAAGTTTTTAAATTGTTATAAACAAACTCAGTATATTTATCTGTCTTCGTTCTGAAGCATCTGTAAACAACTTTTTTCATGGCTCCGTTGTTCGCAACTAAAAATCTTTGCCTAAGAAAAAACGTTATTCTATTATTTTCAGAGTTTTATTTTAATTTTCTAGTGCTTTTTTGTCTTTAAAATTTAAAAACTGGAATTAGTGCATATTGGCATAAGTGAGAGCTCGAATTGGCATAGGTATGAAATGCTAATATGCATATATGTTAGTATTTGCAATTTTATTCGGCGCACTCATGCTAATTCGCACTTATGCCAATGTTTGCAAATTCTTTTGGCGCACTTGTGCCAGTTTGCGTTTAAGCCAACTCGCACTTAAGCCACTGCTTCGTAATTATGCCAGGTCGCACATATGCCGATTTGCACTTATGCCAATGTTTGCAAATTCTTTTCGCGCACTTATGCCAGATCGCACTTATGCCAGTTCACACTTGTATCAGTTTACACTTGTACCAGTTCCAACTTATACCCGTTTTTGCAACTACTTTGCATTTATGCCAGTTTGCACAGACGCTTTTCGCACTTATGAAAATTGCGTTTGTTCAGTCTTCCTCAAAATATTTTCCTGACACAAAATATTTCGGTTATAATAAAGCCTGTGCAATGCAAGAAATTTAATAGAAGATTTACAGATAAATGTTCTTTCAATGAGCACACATTTACCATTTGTGCAATTTTGCACACATTTACCATTTATCGGCTGCGAAATAAACTGAAAGCTATTAAAACAAGTGTTACTTTTTAAAAAAAAGATTTCGTTTGACATCGAGAGGTCTTATTGCAACTTTTTATAAATATTCAGTAAAAAAATGCAGGGGCAGATCCTGCATTTTTCTGTGTTTGAGAAAGATAACTTATATTTTTTTATACTCAAATAAAGATACTTTTTTCTGTGTTTGAGAGAGACATATATATTTTTTATACTCAAATAAAGATACTTTGCAAAAAATTGCGCTGATTGGAATCTGGGAACAAAAACTCCCAAATCTTCGACCATATAAATTTTCCAACCCCTTCAAATTGGGGGGTTTAAACTTTAAATGGTCATAATTTTTGAACTCTCAAATTTAAAATTTATCAATGAAAATAAGTTTATCAAATTATTGCTTTTACTTTTAGGAAAGAAAAAACAAAAAGAATTTTCTGCGCGTTTTTTGTTCCTAAGCTCCAATTAGCGCATTTTTTGCAGCGCATATTAATTTGACAAAATTATAAACACATAAATGTTTGGAGTTTAATCCATGCCTGGGTGTTTGTTATCTCATATACCAAAAATTGCAACACACGCTCCTGAACATGTACGACTCGTTTACATGTTAATAATATGTTTTTGAAATAATATTAAATATTATTTCAAAAATTGTTTTTTGCATTCATCTTCCAAAAACAATTACTCTGCTTTTGATGATAAATGTGTTGTTTAATTTTGAAATTAAATTTGTTTATTATATTTTCATGGACTATTTAATTATTTCGTAAGATTTTAAACATTAGCTTTATTATTTATATTATATTAACAAATAATTGTCTAATAAATTTAACAGTCTATACAATATCTATAAAATGCAGGGCTGGATAAAGGAGGGGGTGGGGGAGACTAGTAGATTATATCCCCGCAGTTTTAGGGGTCCCAATTTGAAATTAATAATTTTCTAAATGGAACTCTGAAAATAAAATTTTCAATTAATGTCATAGAAAGGAGCATCCTGTTGTAAAATAGCCTCTGGCCCCGAAAAATTATTTTCCGTCACTAATAATTTATAACTTATATATTGATATTTGTATTAACTGATATTAAATAGAACGTAAAAACCAATAGCCGCATTGCATTTCTAACTTTTGATTTCAAATCAATTGTCCATAGCAGTCCGGAAAAACAACAACTTCGCATGGTTTTATTATAAACTTTGCTTACATTTTAACGTTAAAAATCTGATAAACTATGACTTCCTGAGGTCGCCGATTGACATAATCCTAAGTTAAAAACATTACTGATGAAGTCAAAAATAGTAAGAATAATGATTCTAATTATAAATAACTGATTTCTTATAGTTGCATATATATATTTTAGTCTATTTTTCTAACCTCAAAAAGTCAATATAAACTTATAATTTAAAATCTAAAATTTTATTTACCTTTCTTATCAACCTTGTTTTATAGACATTAAAAATTGATAAAAAATATTTAATAAAGCTATATTTAATTAAGGTGTACGACTAGTACTCTATAAAAATGTGTTTTCATGTTCTTAATGTCGATATATTTTTAAAGCAGCAAGTTTTTCGGTTATTTTTATAAAATATTTACGGTTGTTTTGCCTAAACTATGAGTACAATTTTTTAAAATTTGAAAAAATAAAATTGATATAAATATATGTTTTGATTATTCTATTTAAATATGCTTATGGGATGTTAAAAAAACTTGTTAATTACCTACATATAAATTTCCGCTTGTTTTTTTCTTAAAAAATGTCCATTTATTGAAAAAAAGTGGTATATAAAATATTTCTTAAAAAATTTTGTTTCAAGGCCAAATCTGTTTAAATTTATCTATATAATTTATGTAAATATACTTATTTTCCTTTCAGAAAAACTTTATTTCAATCTTGAGACATAAGGATAACATATCGAAATCTTATTCTTAATTTACCTAAAACTTTAGCTAAAAATTCTGCATGCTGATTGGTCCAACCTATAAATTTGAATGGAGTCTAAAGGCCAAAAAACATAATTACCAATGCTGTGATGTTTCTCAATGGACGAGACTAAAACCTTGATGCAACACTCATTATCTGGTTGGAAAAAATTGCAAACCAAAGTAAAACTTTTGACTTCTATTTTGTTTTTTGAATTGCTTAACATTATTAGGTATTTGATTCCAGTCATTTAAATAATACGAATCATTGACAGTTTAAAGTGAATTTATTAAAGTTGAATAGCTTGCATCAACCATTGATCAAAATTTTTTATAGTTTTATTGTAACTGTAACATTTTGGACAGGCCATATGTAGCAGTTTAAAAGTACATGCTAAAACAACTTTATTTGTATATCTCAATACTCTCCTAATGGTTTTGTGGCTACCATTAACTTTCGTCTGCAGCTATTTTTAATAAACTATTTAGCTTTTTTTGTTGTTGTAATAAAATATTTACAATTTTTGTATTCATAGTGTTAAAAATATTTATTTTTATATTTTATGTTTAAATATAATAACAATCTCCTACCAAGCATTTTTTTAGATATTTTCTTGATATCATCTTTGGATAAATATAATCTGCGTTCAAATATCAGATAAAACTGTCATTTATGGAAAATTAAATTTTAGCAAACAAATTTTCTAATTACAAATTGTGGTCCATCAATACGAAATCATTTCCAAAATAAAAATATTAAAGAGCTAAAATGCATTTGATTGTTTAAATGACAAACTAAATTGTTTTAAAAAAATAATAATAACATATTTTATAGTTTACAGTATTTTACAAAAAATAAAACATTGTTGTTTTTAAAATTTTCAATTTTTGGTTTTTTTTAGACTGTTATTTGTTTTAATTTTTTATTTTATTTTTTATTTTTTAATTTTTAAACCAAAAAAAGTGCTTTTTTATTGAATTTTATTTGTCTTTTATCTTACAAACAACATTTAGTAAAAGTTTCTTTTTTTTTGTTTTTTGTTTTTTGGTAATAAAAAAATGAAATTGTTTTTTAATGAGTGACTACTGTATGAAAAGGTTTTGACCATTATCATCATATCGCCCTTACCTTCTTTGTCCCTGACTGATTATAACAATATATATTAAAAAATATTTTTAAAAGTTTATATTAAGGTGTTTATAATGTTGTTTATTTTTACATTGTTATATAAAAATTGTAATAATGTTTAGCCAGTTAAATAAAAAGTTTTAATAGTAATAATAAAAACGACAAGAGAAAGGTGTTATGTTTGTTTTGTCATCGAGCTACAATTAGTAAATGGCCTAATTATGTCTAGGTTTTCCTAGAAGCAGTAGCGTATGTAAGATACTCTAAACTTAAGTATGTTCATGGTTATGTGAATGTTTTGCAAAAAATTATGGTGATTGAACCTTGGAAATAAAAACACCCCAATAGGTTCGCCCCTCCTTCCTCAAATGTGAGGGTGATGAGTTAATAATTTTTTTTTTTACGAATTTTTAACAAGTTTTAGTTCATCAACAAGTTTTATATTTCATTTAATTTCTTTTTAACATTCAAATGGTATGACCGTGTAAAGTTTCCACCTCCCAAAAATATATTAAATTTTATGTTGTCTGACTTATTAATGCTAAAAGATAATTAAATTAGAAATAAAACAAAAATAATTAGTTAATTAAATAAACCTGATAAATTTAAATTGAGTATTCTGCATATTGTAAACTTTTGTTTTTTTACTAATATATATATATATATATATATATATATATATATATATATATATATATATATATATATATATATATATATATATATATATTATAAATTAATGATAATTAGAGAAACAAAGAAAGTGGTTAAATGCTTCTAAATAATAGAGTCATATCTGAAACATCAAAAAATCCTGCTAATGCAATATGCATTTATGTTTACTAAGTTTTCAAGTAGTTAGTTTTGCGTCTTGTTTTTTTTAAAAAAAAAATAGTAACATAATCAAACATCGAAGCGTTAATAAGTTTACCTTTCTATTTGTCCAATATCACCAGAAAACAATTTTTGCTTTTAATCGAATCCTTCAATTTTGTACTTAAATGATGGGTAAAATATAGAATTTTTTTCAAAAACAAACCTCATGTTAAGATAAACTAAATAAAAAAAGACATACCCTACTGTGTTAAAAGAAATTTGCATCCGGAAAGCGATTTTAAATCAGATTTTAATTCTTCGAGGCGAAAATTTGAATTACTAGAGTTTGCTTTATTTTTAAAAAAAGTTCTTAAATTATTTAAATAAGAAGGTAATCGTTTTTTGAAAACTTGTATTTAAATACACTGCTAAAATTGTTTTCCTAATATCCTTTATGTTAGTGTTATTGTTAGTTATAAGAACTTAATAAGAATATTTTTGGAATCTTTAAGAATTCTATTAAAAGCATTCTAAGAATGTCTTGGAAACTATTATTTATAAAATATAAGTAAAATTGTTTTATAATAAAGTTTTTTTGCAAACCCACTCTTTTTTTCCATTTTTTTTTTTTTTTTTACTTCTTTGTTAATTGTTTTATGAAGGATTTTAACATTTCTGTATAAATGAAAACTTCATGCTAAATATAAATCAGTATACTTTTGATTACATTTCACTTTTTACTGTAGGAATAATAAATCATTTTAAAATTAACCAATAGTCAATCCGACCAGTTAAACTAAATGGCCAAAACACCAAAAATTAAAAAAAAAGTAAAAAAAAAATAACAGAATTTTATAACCATTAAAAACTAATTTTAAATACGTAATAAAAAGATATTGGACTCACTTCAATCTCTTGTAGAGTCCATTAAAAAACATTTTTAAAAATTGAGCAAAATATATAACATTGACTTGTTACGAAGTTTAGAACAACAGAACTGATAGTATAAAACATCTTAATGAAAATGCTATAAAATGTTTTCGCATACAAATTATTGCTATTGATTGCGAGAAAATAATCAAAGAGTAAGCACAACCTTTTTTACTGTAAATGAAATAAAAATTTGAAAAAAAATAACAATTGAATAAATATCATACTATATTAAAGTTGTGTTTATATTACAGTGGCTTTCAAAAAGGTCATATTTTCTAGCGATTACTCAAAATGTTTTCTAGCTTTTTAAAAAATTAAATAAAAGATTTATAATTTTCATTTGGAATACGTTGTATAACAAAAAAAATATTTCCCTTTGGTGTCCAAATCAATTAAAAAGAAGCAAGTCAAAAAACTATAATTAAAAAAATTCGTCAAAAAATATGATCACGCATTAAACCAACATTTTGCGTGACCCCCGCGCGCTTTAAGAACGTGTAGGCATACAATCGTTCAGATGCATACATAATCCCTTTGGATTTTCGTTTCAAATTTTTTGCAGTGCAAGTTTCCATTTCGCAATGCTTTTCGCATTCTCTCTTGATAATTTCTTCCTAATTGATAATTTCCATATATGACTAAATATTTTCAATGGAGTTTGGATCTCGTGGTTGCGCTGGCCAGGGTAGAAGATTATTGCGTTGCCTTTGAAACCATAGTCCGGTCAAAACAGTCAAAAAAATAGTGGAAGGTTTACAATAATTTGCATAGAGCTGAAAATTGAAACAGACATCGTAGACAATATTACAAATAAACTATCAAATTTCCGCGCTGATCCCACATTTACAAAAAAAGTTTTTCAAGAGCTAATTTTATTACAGTTTACTAAATAACGTATGTTCAGTTTGTCGCGGACAATACTTCGTCTGATTTTTTATAAACATTCCTCTGCAGCAATACGTGTACTTATTAAACAATATTCCTAATATTTCTTAATACGATTTGTACTGTTTAATACTTTTATAAAATGTTGCAACTATTCTGTAAACATTCTATAACGGAATTTAACAGATCTGTATAGGTATTTGCTATAAACGGCTTATAAATTTTCAGAATATGATATTTTAGCTAATCGGCTAGTCACTTTCGGCGACTGCAACTAATCCACTGTAGTTTTGTTCTTTGGTTACATAGTGGACCATTAGTGGCAGCCGCCTAAAGTGGCTAGCCGATGACTAGCCATAATATCATATTTTGAAAAGTTATTTACTGGCCATTTAGAGCGGATGGCCCATTAAGTAACCAATGAGCATAACTTTAATGAACCCCTCAAAATGCCTATATAGATCATCAACAAATCCATTACATAAATATTTTTAGGGATGTTTTTAATTTGTACAAACCTTTTTACAGTTATTGTTGATGGTGGAATAAACAATTTATTTAATTCAAGTGTTGATAGAAAATATTTCTTTGAATACCTGAATGGTCAGAAGTCTGTGAAAATTATGTTCAGTGCCGTAAAATGTGCACTCGGAAGAGTATTTAAAAAACAACACCATACGGACCTTACGGACCCATATGTAAAATTTATAAAGTTGCTACTCTTGAATTTAAAGAATAGATTTTTAAGGTTGCTCGGAGTCGGCTTGATTACGTTGAAAAAAAAATGTTATTGCACGCATTGGGAATGAATATGGTTTAGTTGCTGCTGATGCTAAGTACCATTGTAGTTGTAATGATTCCTATTTGAGACAAACCACAAGCAGTCGTAGCGCAGTGGTAGCACACTTGCCTCAGAAAAAAAGGATGCAGGGTTCGAACCCCACCTAGGCATGTTTGCGTCATCGGTAAGATAGTACGCGTAAACTTCCAATTAAATTCTCTTCCGCGTTGCTCTGTGATAAGGCTGGTTAGGAGTTCTTGGGGTTCCTAAATGAAATAATAAAAGAACACTGATGGTAAAATCCTTCGAATAAGTCTATATATGTTCTGATGGAAGAAATATTTACATGGATTGACAACAATGATAATTGTCAGTTTTTATAAGAGTAAAAAAAAAAATTTTTTAATTCAGTTTTAGATAACAGAACATTTCTGTGATAAAGTTATTATCACTAAAAAACCGGGCAGATTACTTTTATCTTTTTATTTGGCTAATTTCCCAATATTTTCAAACAAGCTTGGTATGAGAAAAAAATAAAGATAAATAATAGTTTTGAATTTTAAAAACTGCGGCAGCAATCATTTAAGATAATATCCAATCATTAATATTTGACAATGCCAATTATTCCTTGTTAAGTCTAATATTTGAGAGCGATATTCCAAAGTCATTGGTTTTTTTTCGGGGCAAGTAGTTTTTAAAAATAAACGAACTAAATTAGAGAATTAAAAATTAGGACATTCAAGTATCACCTACAGTACATTTCTGCTGTTAGGTTTAAATCTTTTAAACTGAAATTATTACTGAATCTTTTCCATCGACAAATGTTTAAAACGACGGTTTTGTTTAAAACGACGGTTTTGTTTAAAACGACGGTTTTGTTTAAAACGACGGTTTTGTTTAAAACGACGGTTTTGTTTAAAACGACGGTTTTTTTTAAAACGACGGTTTTGTTTAAAACGACGGTTTTGTTTAAAACGTCTGATACAATTTTTTTGTCTTTCGGTTTATGCGCACCTTTCAATAACGCTGTTATGCATGAGGCATATGCAGCTTTTCACCATCAACCTTTTATCTTACCGCAGCTTATTTAAACAGCATTAAAAAAATGTTTGCTTATTTTTTTGCACCAGGGCACATTCCTTTTGCTAAATCTGCGCACTTGTATTTGAAATATATGCTAGAATTAGAGAAATTAAAGAACCGCAGTGTTTATCAAGAGTTTGTGGAAGAATTTTTCACTGTTAGATGTTCTGATAAACTCAATGTGGTATAAATTTTGTAGTTAATATCATGATCTGAAACTTTTGTTCACCTTTTTTTTTAAAGAAAAACCCTCTTTTTTTACGTTTTTATTTAGACGCTTTTTAAATGTGCTTTAACTAACACTAACGAAACCAGCTCTATTACTAAACTCAGTTGACAATTCTTGGTAGGTAATTTTAAGATTTTCCCTTACCCTTTCATACAACAACCTTTTATCCCTAGAACTAAGTTTTGACAGCCTTCCAACCCTTAATGAATCTTTTACGTAATTTAAAAGTTTCAAATTTATCATCGTTGATTGAACACAGCAAAACAATAAACCACATAATCTTGCAATTAAACCCAGCAAACATTCTTTTTAAAAAAGACGTCTTTTAAGCGTATAAAAAATCTAATACGTCTTAAGCGTCTAATACGTTTAAAAAACGTATTTAAAAACGTCTTTTTTAGACCGAATGTTTGCTGTGAAAGCACCTTAACTACTATGAGTAGCATAGAGTCTGGGCATGAAAAGACAATTAGGTAACAAATGTTTGTTGAGGGTAAACTAATGATACGTAGCTCTATTTTTTATACATAGCTTAAAATATATTGATATAAAAAAGAAAAGAAAAAAAAATGTCATTAACGCTCTAATGTATCAAGTTTTTCATACTTAAAAAACGGGTGAAGGAAAACAAGACATTTAAAGTAATCGACCGAAATAAAAAAAAACACCGAAATGGAAATAAATTTTGGGTACACTACTTAAATACCGAAACTAATATTATACCAAACTAATACAGATATTTCGGCTTAACAAAATTAATTTCATCAGCCCGTAATGCTAAATTTATTGAAACTTGTTTAAATTCATTTAGAGAAAAAATCTTTGACTAAATCGACTGAAAGCCGACTAGTCGAAATTCTAAATTAGTCGACTTTTAAAAATTAAATATTCAATTTAATTGACTATGGATTTCCTACTAATTGACAAAAAATCAATTTAATCTTTATTTTTGTTTGTTTAATTATTATTTTTGTTTGTTAATTAATAACGCAAGCATACGGCACCTAGCTTTTTGTTTACTTTCATAAAGTTTTATCTAATTCGTTGCATGTCAGCAATATTTATAGCTAATTAAACGTTCGGTTATGCATTTCATTAATATTTTTTTGTGTGTGTTTAAAAGTCAATTTTTTCACAAACATCTCAGTCTTCCCGTAGAAACTCAATGCCAGAGAAAAGCAACATTAGGCTTGTAGAGGGAATTGTAAATTAAATAATTCTTTGCAGCACATAAAAAATAGATTTCAATCTTGTTGCAAAGTTCGTTTTTAATTT